CTAAGGACAGCTCCTGAATGAGGTTTGTCAGCTGTGTATATTGTTAGTTGGCCAGTCATGGTGGAAACCTGGATAGAAAGCCAAGAAAACAAATGTGATGACATTGAGAGTCAGGATGATTTGGGTTTAAAGTGAGATGTGGAAGTACCTTAACTGAATCGAGGCTGTAAAAACGGTTTAGGAACTGTGGTCCAAGGCAGCCGACTGGGTGTGCACTGGAGGCACATCATGTCTTTCGTTTGTGGAATTCAACTAATAGACTTGGCAAAAACGGAGGTGAATAATTTAGTGTGGTAGGCCTGCCGTCTCAGTGACAATATTATAAATTTAAAATTCCAGAATATTTCCATTTTTAAAAGACGTATCAAATTATTGTTTACATGACATTTCAGATGTCTTACATGTCATGATAGAAGCAGAATACAAGTTAAGTCAGTATTTCTTACTGAAAATTGTTAATGTACTTGTGAATGAGCTGTCATTTGAATTGTATTCAAAGAGGGAATAATTTTTTTTCTTTTGCGGCTTTAGAATAGTGCTTGGTGTTTTTTTAATAATGGGAAATAGAGTTATTTTTGATTCATGTTTATAATTTGATTTCCTTTCTTTGGATATTTCCTTTTCTATTTTAAAATACCACCATTTCCTACTTCCCTTTCTGTCAAAAGCATGGTTCAGAACTGATTTCTGTTAATCTGTTTTGAAATTCATAGACTTTTTTCATTGAGCCGTCAGTGTATCTTCTCACTGTAAGGTATGAAAATAAAGGGCTATAATAAATTTGGGATAGGATTATTGGAAACATGAGTTATATTGTATTTTAGTCTACTGAAAGCTGTGGATGTCAGATTGGTCGCTGAAGGACATCCAACAAACTATTATTATTTTGTCTAGTCTTGCTGTGGAAGGCGATCGTGGTTCCAGTGCTGTGGGAAGATAGCTCGTGAGCAGTTTATGATCCGCTGTGGAGGCCTGGATTGGGGTGTGGGTAGGGAATAGTATCTGGGCTTAGCTTTGAAGTGTGGATAGAATTTCAGTGTGAAAATGGTATAACTAATGGCATGGAGATAGGGAAGTGTGGAGCGTAATTGAAGGATGGCTGTTTGTCTGCTCGTTGCATCAAAAGAAAGGGAAAAATATTGAACAAAAGTCTGGAAAGGTAGAATATTTTGAATTCTTAACTAAGAAGTTTGAAGTTGTTTTCTAGGCAGTAGAAAGTGGGGTGGGGGTGGTGAGGGGAGCTAGGATGCCACAGAATCATAGTTTTAAAGCTGATATAGGACCAGAAGTCATTCCAGACAAACCTAGTTCTTTAGTCAGAAGTCTCCTTTACAAAGGATGGCTCTTTTTCCTGAATTTTGCAATGTAATTAAGAACTCAACTTCGGGAAGAATAATTTGAGAGTGGTATGTAGGTTACTAGTAATCTTAAAGGCATAAATGCCAATTATAAGAGGCTATTATAAGAGTTGAAGAAGTGGGAAATAAAGTCCTAAATTAGTGAGTCTGTAAAAATAAGAAAGGGTTGTAGTGTGGTTACATGGTTGTGAAATTTTTGTTTGCTTCCCCAGTAGATTAAGATAGAAGATCATGCATTTCTTGTTTACTCTTTCTTCCTAGCACGTGGCAGAATGCTAGGCACATAGAAGGTGCTTAGTAAATGTCCACTGAGTGCTCCTGTAAAGAAAGCTCCCTTGAGGAAGCATGGTTCTGGTTCATTGAATTGCTTTTGGATTTCTCTTCTGTGGAAACCTGATTCTGGGTCATGAAGGAAAGAACGTTTAGACAAGTTTGTTAGTGTAATGTGCTAGGCTGTAGCTGAGACACTGGGAGACACAAACTGGGGAGACAGGTGCCGTAGTAAATGTCTGGGCGGAGGAGGGAGTGAGTATGTGCCTCTGTTGGGAAAGGCTTGCAGAGGCTCTGGGGTGGCCCAAGTTGCCCTGAAGCGTGTGTAGTTTAGGATGAAGGTTGTCTTTGGTGAAGGGATTAGCATGTGTTGAAAGACTACGTCTTAGAAGTAGGTTTGCTATAATTAATTTAGAACTTTATAGGTTGGCATGTGTGCAAGCGGCAGAAGATGAGTGAGGTATTGTTAGCTAAGACCAGATTGTAAAGGACTGTGAAGTTCGGGCTTTAGGTAGGCAGGCAGAGGGGATCTCTTAGGTTTTTGAGCAGGAGAGTGACAGGAGCAGGATCTGTCGGGAAGAGGGAGGCAGGGAAGGTGCTTAATAGTTGAAGCTGAGAAATGAGGAGGGTCTAAATTAACTTCACTAGAGGTAAAAATGGAGAAGAGAGGTTTAGAAATCTTGAAGAAGTAAGAATTACTCAGATTTAGTGAAAAATTGGATAAGACCTAGTGAAAAATTGGATTGGAAGGAGTAAATTGGCACCAAGGTTATTGTCAGTACCTTTGCAAATACGCCCTAACTTGTGGCTCTGGGAGGAGCCTGGTCAGTCAGATGAATACAGGCTCTTTCTGCAGGACTTACTCTTCCTGCTTCCCTCCCTTCCTTTCCTCTGCCCCTCTCATTTTTTCTCTCCTTTATGTTTGGGAAAGAAGTGAAGTACAAAGAATGGAGGAGAAAATGTGAAATGCATGTAAAGGAAAAGAGAGATGTTAAATTGAGCATTTTACTTTGTCACTTGAGATTGGCTATAACTCAATCTCATTTCCCTTGAAAAAAATCTGGCCAATATAATTAAAATAAATTATTTAGCTCAAATACCTTTTAACAAGAAACACATTTTTGTATATGACCAAAATAACATGATCACATAATTATGCGTTAATATTGTAAGTATGAACTAGGTATTAAATGTTTCTCTAACTGTCCACAAAATGTCCTTCATAGCTGATTTGTGGAGCCTATGTAGGGACCATTCATTGCATTTGATGATATCCCTTAATTCTCTTGAAATCTAGAATAGTTGCGACACCAGTTTGTTGGAGGCCGCAGACCAGTTATTCCGCAGAAAGTCCCATGTTCTCATTTTGTCCGATTGCTTCTTTGGTGTCATCTGGCTATTTCCTCTAGTTCTTAATCAAGGTAAACGTTGTTGATGTGTACGTCATATTCTGTCGCATCAAGAGACCCAGTGTCTGGTCTCCCCCGCCCCCGTGGTGTTGTGAAGATTGATGAAGAGAGTAACAGTTGATTCCTCCTGTGAGCCTTTTCTACCTTATGAACAGGAGACAGTCTAGGCTGTGGTATTGCTGTAGCATTATGCCAGTACCAATGGTTCATCTGGTGGTTTTAACCCAGTTTATAATCTTGCCTAAAAAAGGTCCATTAGGAATTACAAAATGATGTTGCTTTTGTTTTTGTGATTCTTTCGTTCACCATTTATTAGCTGTCATTCTTTTTGTAAAGTAGGACTTTCATTCAACTGGGGCTGTTTGATTACTCTGAAATGCAGTACCTACTGAAAGGATAAACACTTGAATCTTGCTGTTCAGTTACCAATTTTCTTAGTTTAATAGCTGCCTCAGATTGTGGCTGATTTGTGCTGTAGCCTTTCCCTCCCTCCTCCCTCCCTCTCCCGTCTCTTCTCTCCTGCCCCCCCATCTTTTACATCACTGCCAGCTCTGTTTTCTGCAGCACAGATAATTATCATGTTATCCATAAATTTTTGTTTTGTTTTGTTTTGCTGAGGAACATTAGCCCTGAGCTAACATCTATAGCTAATCTTCCTCTTCTTTTGCTTGAGGAAGGCTGGCTCCAAGCTAATGTCTGTGCCAGTCATCTTCTACTTTATATGTGGGTTGCCACCACAGCACGGCTGACAAGTGGTGTAGTTCTGTGCCCGGGATCTGAACCTTGAACCCGGGCCACTGAGGCAGAATGCACTAAACTTAACCACTATGCCATGGGGCCAGCCCCATCTGTAAATTTTCATTCAGTATATTTCATCCCACTATAATTATTCTTTTTGCTTAGATTGTCACTACTTTGGCCACTGAGGTCCCCTTCTAGCTGGCTCCTGTATCATGCTAACATGACATGATGACCCTGTTAGACTTAGCTTTTTGAGACTAAAAGATGTCCCGTGCTCATTTTATACATTTCCTGCCCCAGACTTGTAACTGGTCATTTTGCAAAGAACTTTGCTTTCTTGGTATTAGAGATCAAAATCAAGGATTAGGAGTGCCATTATTCCTGAGGTAAAACTGCTTCCAGAACACCTCAGTGAATACTTAGAAACAATTTAAAAATCGATTATATATATATATGAATATAAAACATATATTGATATTTTCAAGTCAACTTTGGTATTGGTGTTTTCATTTAATTTCCTTGATTTATAAATATTTTCTTACCCTAAAAATCTTGATTCCTGATATTATTAACATAAGTACTTATTTGCTTAATCCTACAATATAAAGTAAATAATTCAGTATAAAACCAAGAGTTTACTTATCACTGTTGTTTTCACAGCTCCATGATTTCCGTAGTGTGGCTGTGCAGTAAGTTCTTTAACCATAGATTCTTATTGATGGTCATTTAGGTTTGCATTTTTGGTTATAAACAATGCTGTAATGAGTAATTATTTAGAAAAAGGTTGTATGTTTTCTTAGTCATTATTTGTCTGAAAATGCCCTTTTGTCTTCACACTTGACCAAGTATTTGAATATAGAATATTTTTTAGTTGAGGTAAAATTTACATAAAATGAAACATATAGACCTTAAATGTGCAGTTTGAGTTCTGATAAATATATATATCAATATAAGCCATATCTCCTTTAAGATATCGAATATTTTCATCACTTGCCATAAGGGCAACCACTGTTATCACCACAAGTTCATGTAAATGGAATCTCTTTTGGGTCTTTTTCATTGAGTATAATGTTTGAGATTCATCTCTAGGTCATTCTGTTTTTATTGCTGCGTAGTATTCACTTGTATGGATATATCATAATTTGATTATCCTCTCAGTGTTGATGGACATTTGGGTTGTTTTCACTTTTTACCAATTATGAATAAAGCTGTTATGAACATTTATGTGAATGTCTTTTTGTGGACATACGTTTTTATTTCTCTTGGGTAAATACCGAAGGGTAGATTGCTGAGTTATAGACTAGGTAATTATCTTAGATGTTGTATCAGTCATTTCTTTTGTTTTTCCAAAAGAAATTGGTTTAATTTTGCCTATTTTTGCCTTCTGTGTTGGTAGGAATTATGTTTGTATATTCTTCTGTGACTTGCCTTTTTTGCCTCAACCTTGTTTTAGAGATTCTAATATTCTAATACTTAACTTTTTCTGATTAGGTCTGCATTCTACCTTTTTATCTCAATTTGTCTTCTCCCATCCTTCTTTATTTGTAGTTTTTGTTTATGAGTTTCATGTTCTCTTTAACTTCTTTAAGCACGAGAAGCATTTTTTGTGGACTTTTTTCCTATTTCTGTAGTATTTCTTTCTTTTTTGTAGTATTCATTTGTATAGCCATTACGCTGTGTGTGTGTTAAACTGTGCTTGACTTCGGCCACTCCATGCTGACTTGCTTTTTATGCAGCTGTGGTGTGGCTGGGTTCTTAGGCACCTGTATGGGGGATTCATTTTGAAGGTTAGGTGTAGTTGGAGTGGGAGAGAGGCAGGCTGTGGCTCACCTCTTGGCTCTGGGCAGTTATGATTGGTGGATTTCAGCTCTGGTTTTTGTAATTACATATGCTTTTCCCATGGGGAGCATTCACATATTCGATTTCCCTCAATTATGATTGAGCATAGCTTGATTTCTGACAGAAAAATAGATGAGAGGCTCCTATCCGCTTTCCTTCTGTCCCTGGCTCCAGCAGCTGTTTCTTTCTATTCACTGCTGGCCAGAGGATGGTTAAAATAAATTTAATGTAAGGGCCATAACTAGGGAACTGTTAATCTATTTGGGGCTGCGGGTTGGGGGCTGTAACTTTTGTGTTGGGCCTTTGTGGCTGTCTTCATTCCAGTCTGCTGCTTTAGTTGTTCTTACTTCTTCACTCTTTACTTTAAATTCTGATAAATCCTTTATAAGCCCTCCCAGTGATTGTTGGCCCAGCCCCCTCTGTGCCCGCCCCGCCCCTGCATTTCTGAGATGGTGGGTGAAGACTGGATTCCTGAAGCTTCCCCTCTTCCAAGTTTGTGGTGTGCACTTAGGCCTCCCTTAGTTTAAATGCCCCTGGATTAAATGCTTAATCTTAGTTTAAATCCTCTTTTATTCATTGTACTATAGTCTGTAATTTTGCTTTGCAACACTAACTTTCCCAGGATGGTGGTAGTTCTGTGTTTTTAAGCCATTTCATAAAATGTTTAATTATGAAAGCATAGCTTCCTATGCTGGTAAATAATGTCCTGCCTTTCTTGAAGGTAAGTCACTATTCCGAGATAATGAAAACCTGTTTTTCTGAGATCTAGGATGGAGATGGATTATGCTGCCAGAACCAGCAGTGACGTCTGACGTTGGAGGAGTAGGAGATTGACCAGACAGGTGTTAGTACTGCTAACTCTGGCCTAGCTGTTTTTTAAGTCTTTTGTAATTCTTCTTGATAGTTTTCAGGTCTATTTTGGAAACCTTTTGTTCTTTTTAAATAATAATCTGCAGTGGCACACTATATTTTTTAGACAGCAAGATCTGCTTGTTGATTTCAAAGCCTTTGGAAACTCCTAAATTGTAGGTGTTCTTATATGCTTTCTCTGCCTTGTCTTCCATGCTGTGTTTTGTTGGACTCCCAGACAGACTGGTGGGGTGCTCAGTGAGCAGAGGCACTCCTGCTGCTCCCCCAAAGAGCGTGACTGTCCATGTGCTGCTGTGTCTTCTATTCTGTTGTGTTCTCTCTTCCCCCCAGTTTCTAACCCTCACTCGCAGGGATTTGGGAAATAGGATTTCCTCACTGCTTTGAGTTTAGAGTAATGAGTAGTCTCTTAAATTTTAAGACAACCCATTTCACGTTATGAAAAACCAAGAAAGGGAGTGGTTGGCTGCCCAGGCAGAAATCATGACTCTTTGATGGCATGACCCCAGGTCTGGGGCCTGGTTTTCAGATTTCTTAGTCCAGTAACACTTTTATTGGTTCTCTGAAGTATGATCAAACTCTGAATGTTGATTCACACTAAGTTCACAAGAGACTGGTAAATCAGACTTCTGAACTTTCACTAGGAATTCAAATGTTTAGTAGGACCAAAATACTAACTCAGCTGGACAGAGCAATTTCTGACCATTATTAAATTCTATTTGGAAAAGCCAATGAAGATGAGATGGCTGTTTTTTAAGTAGAATGTGGTCAGAATAATGGCATTTGGATGACCACGAGGGATGATGTCATCAGGCTCTGGTAGCCTTAACACAGTATTTTATAGTTTTTAGGTTATTGCTGGTATATTCATATCATTCAGAAAGAGCACTTTCTTTGTCACCAGATTGTCCCCTAGATGTAATGGGAACAGTTCTTGGCTGTATAGCTCTCTGTTAGGTATTTTCTATCTGAAGTTCTAAAAACTTCAATCATTGTGTTTCTCTTCTAAAGAAATTAACATATAAGATAACAGTTTGTTTTATCAGAATTATTTAACAAAACAAAAAAATACATGTGCTATTTCTTATGCAGATGATTAGTCTCACTAGTCTCACCGTTTTTATTCTTACTTTTTTCAGGCAGCTTTTTAGGATTATTTACCTCCTGTGTTTTGACTACATGGTCAAAGGCCATTTCTATGTTTGAAAAATGGCTCTACTTCTCATTGATAGGGAGGCAGCATAGCATAATGAAAGTAGCTTGGACTTTTTTCCCATTTTTTTTTGTATTGTGGGAAGATATACTAACATAAAATTTACCATCTAAACCATTTTTAGTGGTTCATTGGCATTAAATACATTCATAATATTGTGCAACCATCACCACCATCCATCTCCATGATAGTTTCCTTCTTGTAAAACTGAAACTGTACCCATTCAACAACAAATCCTCTTTCCCCCTCCCCCGGCAGCCACCAGTCTACTTTCTTTCTCTATGATTTTGACTACTCTAGGTACCTCATATAAGTGGAATCAGACAGTATTTGTCTTTTTTGTAATTGGCTTATTTCATTTTGAAAGTAACTTTAACTTTTAATCAGATGCATTCGAAGCCTGACGCTACTTCTTTGCTTAATGCTGATTGAATTGCTTAAACCCTCTTGGACTTCCGTTTCTGTTAGTAAAATGGAGTTAATTCCAACTCTACAGGAAGAATTAGCAAAAAACAGTCAAGAATGGTAAGAGGAGAACCAAGAGAAAAGATATCCTGAAAGCCAAGTGAAATAAGTGTTTCTAGGAGGGAGTGATCATCACCATCAGATACTGATCACAGGACAAGTAGAAGGAGGTCTGAGAGATGGCCACTGGATATAACAGTGTGAGGTCATTGTTTTTTTTCTGGACCATTTTTGGCGGAATGTTAAAAGCACTTACTGATTTGAAATGAGTTTAACTGGGAGATGGTATACAACTTTTGAGGATTTTTGCTTGTAAAGAAAATGAGAGAAAACAGTATGGTAATTGGAGGGAGAAATTAGGTCGAGACTTTTTTTTAAATAGAAGAAATAATACCATGTGTATGTATACTGAAGGTAAAGGTCACATGTGGAGGGAAATTTGATGTGAGAGGGAACTGCCGAGTAATGTCCTTGAATAGGCAAGATGATAGGGTAGCATTGAGTGCTGAGAAGGCAGGCATTTTGTCCCTGGGTGAATAGTGTAGATGGGTGTAGGTGGGAGTTCATAGAGAAAGGCCTCTTCTAGTTGTTTTCTGTTTTGACATGAAAATAAAAGTAAGACAGGGAAGATGGAGGAGTTGGTGTTAGAGATTTGAAGAGAGAAGTCATGTAGGAGAAGGGACTAGGAGAATTTACAGTATAATTTCTGGGCAGCGTGAACCGTCCAGTTGAGGTAAATGGTTGCTGACTGGCTCCCTTTAAGATGGTAGGTTTTTCTCCGGCCGTGTTTAGCTGTGGAGGTGTCCAGAGTAGGTGGAGAGTGGATAAAGCAGTTGTGGCTCATCCAGATGTGTAAGGTGAGGTGAGGCTGGGGCACAGAGTGGGGGAATGTGCACGGGGGTGAGACTTCATTTCACCTAGGTACATTTCACATAGGTACAGAGTGTGTCTATAACAATAACCACAAGTGAAATGAATAATAACCCTTTAATATCTTAAATTTCTATTTAGTTTTTCAAATTTGTCAGGTTCTCAAAAATGTTTTTTATACTCGATTTGTTCAAATTGGACCCAAAGAAAGTATATACATTGCTTTTGATTGCTGTGCCTCTGAAGTCCTTTAATCCATACCAGTTTCCTCTCACTCCTTCTTTTCCATGTCGTCAATTTGTTGAAGAAATTGGGTCTTTGGTCGTGTTGAACTTTCCATATTCTGCACCTGCCTGGCTGTCTTCTTGTGGTTTTATTTTTAAAATAAAATTTTTAATCTTGGTAAAATATACATAACAAAATTTACTATCTCAACCATCTTTAAGTGTGCAGTTTAGTAGTGTTAAGTATGTTCGTTGTTGTGTCTTGTGTTATTTTTAACATGTTCCCCTGGCCTCCTTATTTTGTGTAAACTGGTACCAGATCTAGAGAGGCTTGATTTGCTTCAGGTTCAGTTTTGTGTTTTGATCTTTGTAGATGAGGGCAGGGCGTGCAGAGTGCTGGCATGCAGGGCTGCTTGTCTTGATGACCTTGATCATTGGGTTGAGGTCTGACAGCCTGATCTATCAGTTTAAAAATTTTCCTGTGGATTTTTTTTCATCTAATGCTTTTATTAACCATTGATGATCATTGCCTAGATCCATTTTTTCATTAGGGGTTGTGAAATAGTAATTTTCTAATTATATAACTCTTTTTGCATTTATTAGTTGAAATTCTGTTAAGAACATTCCCTCATCTAGTTTTTGCCAGAGATGCAGGATAAATGCTTGATTCTCTCCCTTTATTTTCCACTTTTCAGGTGACAGGTTTTTTTTTTAATTAAAGTTTTGAATTCATGCAGTTTATAATGACTTGTAGTCATTGTTTTGATGTTCAGGTTTTCTTATCTGTGGCCCGCTGGGAGCCTCTTCAGGCTGGATCTTGTGTCCTTCACAGCCACAGCATCTTTGTTAGTGTCCAGGCTTATTTGTATCTTTCCGATCCCAGACCTGAAATCCTCCATTTCTCCAAGGAATTCCTAGTTCTTTTTAGTGGAAAATGGTATTTGGAGATCATAATTTGGGTGTCTACTTTTTAAAAAGATGTTGTTCTTTTCAATTATTTGATTCTTCAGAATACTGATTACTTTCTTTTCTTAATTCAACAGGCATGCCCAAAGAAAAATACGAGCCCCCTGACCCTCGGAGGATGTACACAATTATGTCCTCCGAGGAAGCAGCAAATGGAAAGAAATCACATTGGGCAGAGCTTGAAATAAGTGGTAAGACATGCAAGCATAAACGTATGGTATGAAAGTTAAGATATGTTAGAAAATTGTTTTCTAATGCCAGGACACAGAAGAAGGAGTGCTGCGTTTACCAGTGCTAATTAATCTGAGAAGCAGGGAGCTTCAGTGGAAAGAACATGGTTTGAGTCAAAAGTTCAAAACCTATTCATTACTTAATAAAGTAGGGATAAGAATATCAAGGATGAAATGAAAATAATACATGTGAAGTGCCTAGCGCACAAAGGTTTGTTTTGATACTTAATTCTCTGATAAAGTACGATTGAGCTTTTCATTATCAAATTACAGATTTCCAGTGGGATGGGAAATGCCTATTCTAGTATAGGTTCTTGGATGGATGTGTTTCTTCTTGTTTTCTTCATCTAGTCTCTGAGGGCAGCCTTATTTAGAAACAAAATCTTGGAAGAGTTTGAAGCAGGTCTCAAAGTTCCCTTCTGCCTTTCATGTGGTCTAGACATATTCAGAGAAATATGTGAGTCCCCCAGTCTACAGAGGATATCTTCAGCACCCCTGCCAGTGAGCAGGCAGCCTCTTTTTTAATACTTCAAAGGTGGTGAAAGGACATTATTACGTCTCAGGGCCACCAGTGCTAAAGAAGTTTTGTGTTCATATTGGCCGAGTATGCCTTCCCCTACTTTCCTTTCAGTTTGGCTTGATTTTTGCCTTCTGAAACAGTACAGAGCAAGTTCTCTCTTCTTTCTTCTGGCTGCCCTTGATTTTTTTTTTAATTTAATGCAAGAAACATAACTGAGCATATGCTGTGTGTGAAACATTTTGCCAGGAACTGTGCTAGGCATATGGAAGATATATAGATGGAAAAAAACACATTCCTTGTCATTTGGATCTTATCGCATGTTTGTTTTTTTAGTGCCATAGAATTGATTCTGACTCCTGGTGACCCTCTGTGCAGCAGAGCAGAACGTTGCCTGATCTTTTTGCGCCATCCTCTCATCTTCCAGTGCTGTATCAGACACTGCTTCCCTGCTATTCATAGGGTTTTCATATCCAAATGTTTTTTGTTTTCCAAAGGTGGATGGCGATCCTTCTTCCTAGTCTTGTAGTCTGGAAGCTGCACTGAAACCTGTCCGCCATGGGTGACCCTGCTCGTATTTGAAATACTGGCAGCATGGCTTTGAGCATCACAGCAACACACAGTTGCTGCAGTATGACCACTGACAGATAGTGGTGTGGTTCCCTGACTGGGAAATGAGCCCGGGCCGCGGCAGTGAGTGCCAAATCTTAACCTCTAGACCACCAGGGTTGACATATTAGAGAGTGAGAAGAAGGGAGTGTAACAGTATAAATAACTCTTAGACAAAATATAACTGCCAAGTCTAGGTCGAAAAGTGCTACACAGGAAGCAAAAGGGAAGTAATGGTAATAGTACTCCTCCCTTGTCAGCTCAGAATTTCTGGTTAACCTATTGAGTAAACCTAAGTGCCCTCCTCTGCAGCCATGGTAGAATAGAGGTCAGTACCCACATAGGTCTCTCCTGTTTTCCCTCTTCCAATTTTTAGAGTGCTGGCCTTAATAAAGCTGAGTTTAATTTCATAAAGTAGATGTGGTGGAGAGTGAAGTTTCTCTCTTGTTTGTCCTCTCCTGTCGAATTTGACTTTCTGTGTCAGGGGACCCAAAGAGAAACACGCTCTCTAATACCAGTTACCTTCAAAGCACGGCAGTCACCACTCCCACTTTCCCCCTTTAATTTCTGCAGGATTGGTATTTAACTGTGTTTTTCACTTATTTCAGCCTATATTATCATGAATTACAGGTCCTTTGCTTGTAGGGCAGTTTCCCCTTTCTTAGAACATCAGGATAAGCTAGAAAGCACTCGCTTAGGTCAATGAGATTATGTCTCTGAGGTTAAAGGGATTCTCCTCCACCGTCTCCTCCCTGTGCCTCATGTTGGGCGCTTCTTGACAATTTTGAATCACTGTTCTCTGCTTAGTCTGAACTTTGGGATGAAATCTGTATACAAGATAGGAAGGAAGAGGGGAGATTCCTTTAAAGTTGCGTTCTTAAGAAATAGTCCTTACCAAGTATTATGGAGGATAAACTGTTGGTTGAATAGGTCTTTGGAACAGGACCTTGTAATTAACAAAGGCGCTGTCAGGAAGGTCACTTTATTGTTCTTAGTAAGTCCTTAATACATAAGCTCCTATGTGTAAAAATTATCCAGGCTGAGTTCATTTCGTGCTAAGACAGTTCTTTCATGTTTTACACATATGCTTTATATCGGCTCATTAAGATCGTGTGACATGAAGTTCTAGGGGTCTGAGGTCACTGAATCCTGGATCCACAGTTATCTCTTAGGCTGTTTCTGGTTCCAGGGGGTGGGTGGTGAGTTCCTTGTGCCTTTTGGAGGTAACCAGATAAGCCAAAAGACTATTAATCATTTACTTTTTAAAGAATGCCTTTTTTTAATTGTAAAATGAAACACAGATAAAGAAAACCACACAGACAGATACGTTAATGAATTATTATAGGGCCACAAGTCTTCTAACACACTACCCAGGTCAAGAATTAGAACTTTTTCGTTTACCCCAGAACCCCTTCCATATGCCCCTTCCCGGGATCCAAACCAGTGAACTCCTGGCTGCTGAGGTGGAGCGCATGAACCTAACCACTGCGCTGCTGGGCTGGCCCCATTTGTTCTCTGAATTTGCATATTTGTCTCAAACCATTTTAAGAAGTTTTTTTAAAAATTAAGGTACAAGTGTTGGCCTGGTGGCATAGCGGTTAACTTTGTGTGTTCTGCTTCCGCGGCCTAGGGTTTGCAGCTTCAGATCCCAGCATGGACCTACGCACTGCTTGTCAAGCCATGCTGTGGCATACTTTACACATATAGAGGAAGATGGGCATGGATGTTAGCTCAGGGCCAGTCTTCCTCAGCAAAAAGAGGAGGATTGGTGGCAGATGTTAGCTCAGGGCTAGTGTGCCTCATAAAAAAAATATATTAAGGTATAATTTACAGTAAAATAAAAATAAAATACAGTAAAACTCACTCTTATTGTTGTGCATTTCTTTTACAAATACACACAGTGTGTAAACACTATCACAATTACAATATGGAACAATTTCATAACCCAATAGTTGCCCCTGCTCCTTTGTAGGCAAACATTCCTTTTGCTTCCAGCCCCTCGCAACCACTGATCTGTTTTCTTCTTTTTAAGACTGTTTTTTAGAAGAGTTTTAGGTTCACGTCACATTTGACAGAAAGTACAGTGCATGACACCTTCACTATCAGCATTCCCCCCAGAGTGGTGCATTTGTTACCATCAATGAACCCATGTTGACAAGTCATTATCACCCAAAGTCCATCATTTACATTAAGGATCAATCTTGGTGTTGTACATTCTTTGGGTTTAAACAAATCTGTAGTGACATGTATCCACCATTACAGTATCATCCAGAGTATTTTCACTGCCCTAAAAAACCTCTGTGCTCTTGCCAATTCATTCCTCCTTCCCTCACCCTTTCATCCCTGGCAACCACTGATCTTTTTACTGTCTCCATAGTTTTTGGCTTTTCCAAAATGCCACATGGTTGGAATCGTACATTGTGTGGCCTTTTCACATTGACTTCTTTCACTTAGTAATGTGTATTTAAGTTCCTCCATGTCTTTTCACGGCTTGCCAGCTCATTTCTTTTTAGTGCTAAATAATATTCCATTGTCTGGATGTACCACAGTTTATTTATCCATTCATCTACTGAAGGACATCTTGGCTGCTTCCAGGTTTTGGCAATTATGAATAAAGCTGCTATAAAGGTCAGTGTGCAGGTTTTTGTGTGGACAGTTTTCAACTCTTTGGATAAATGCCAAGGAGTGCAATTGCTGGATCATACGGTAAGAGTATGTTTAGTTTTGTAAGAAACTGCTGAACTATCTTAAAATGTGGCTGTCTCCTTTTGCATTCCCACCAGCAATGAATGAACTCCATGTTGCTCTGCATCCTCTCCAGCATTTGGTGGTGTCCGTGTTTGGATTTGGCTTTCCTAATAGGTGTGTGTAGTGGTCTCTTGTTTTTTAATTTTCATTTCCCTGATGACATTAAGAGCATCTTTTCATATGCTTATTTACTATCTGCATAGCTTTGGTTGGCCGTCTGTTCAGGTCTTGCCCATGTTTAAATCAGGATGCTTATTTTTGAATTCTTGAATTTCAAGAGTCCTTTATCAAATGTGTCTTTGCAAATGTTTTCTCCCAGTCTATGGCTTCTCATTCTCTTGACAGTGTCTTTCACAGAACAGAAGTTATTAATTTTAATGAAGTTCAGCTTATTAATTATTTCTCTCGTGGATTGTGCTTTTGGTGTTGTATCTAAAAAGTCATTGCAAACCCAAGTCATAATGGATTTTCTCCTGTTATCGTCTAGAAGTTTGATAGTCTTGTGTTTTTCATGAGGTCTGTGATCCATTTTGAGTTAATTTTTATGAAGAGTGTAAAGTATCTAAACTCTTGTTGTTGTTTATGGAATCCAGTTATTCCAGCTCCATTTGTTGAAAAGACTTTTCTCCATGGTACTTCCTTTGCTCCTTCGTCAAAGATGAGTTGACTGTATTTATGTGGGTCTATTTCTGGGCTGTCTATTCTGTTCCATTGATCTGGTTGTCTATTCTTTTGCTGATGCCACAACTGTCTTAATTGCTGTAGCTTTGTAGAAAGTCTTGAAGTCAGGTAGCATCCATCTTCCAACTTGTTCTCTTTCAGTTTTGTGTTGGCTATTCTGTGTCTTTTGCCTCTCTATATAAACTTTGGAATTAGTTTGTTAATATCCACAAAATAACTTGATGGGCTTTTAGTTGAGATTGTGTTGAATCTGTAGATAGAGTTGGGAAGAACTGACATCTTGACGGTATTGAGTCTCCCTGTCCATGAATATGGAATATGTCTCCATTTATTTAATTCTTTGATTTCTTTCATCAGTTTTTTTAATAATTTTCCTCACATAGATCATGGTATGTTTTGTTAGATT